AAGTAAAAACGACGATAAGAAACTCTTATTCAAATGAGCACTTGGATCTGCATCGATACATTTCATATAATTCATTAGTTAAAATTTGTGTATAGAGCTCGCGATGAAAGATATCGACTCAAAAGATGATGATACCCCATTTTCAAACACGTGAAAGATTAGAAAAAATAAAATGAATAATTTTTTCCTAAAAAATGTAGCTTGCACGGAGGTAGAGAGGAATGAAAAGGCGACAAAAATGAAAGATTAAAGTACTCAATAATGCAAAAGTTGGAGGCTCTCCAATGCAAATTCCACCAGTATATTTGGTGACATTTTTATAAAAATAAAAAATCTTAAGTCTTCATTAGATACCCAACCCACTCTACATTATCTTGGGAATCTCATTCATCTCCTCCACCAAGATATAAAACCAAGCTTTAGATCTGACACACTCACTCTCTCTCTCCAATTGTGGGTGATAAAGCGTGCTCATCACATGTAGAAGTGGTAATGCAACTTTTAAGTTTAAAATAAAGAGAAAAAGAGAAAAACCCACCATGTCAATTGCCCTTAAAAGAGGGGAAGCACAAACATGCATTCTCAATTTTGATCCCAACAACACGCATTAACTCCAAAATCTAATCTTTTCTCATCCAATGCAATGTGTAGTGTGACTTGTGACCCACTACTCTACTTTTTCTCACGCTTTTTTGCTTATTTTACTTTACTTTTGTGCTCTTTAGATATTTGAGATGGTTAAAGGGAACTTGTAGTCTATATAGTTGGGTTGGGTTGGGTTGGGTTGATGGGAACAATAATAGTGTTTAATAAAAGATCAATGAACACTTATTGGGGAATCCACACACATCCTTAATTCTACTTTTCCACCTAACATGTGGATTTGGGATTACAATTTCATCATTTTTTTCTATGTTATATGGACCAAATTGGGTCCCAAATTCTTGGAATTTCGATCGAGAAAAGAAAAATCAATAGCATACTTATAAGTGATTAGACTAGTTCTTGTATATATATGCCAGACATTATATAATGTTGTGGCATGCTTTTTTCGGTTCTACTATTTTCGGTTAAGGAAATATGTTTTATAAGAAAATATGATAAAATATTATGTAACTTTGTAGTGTCATATTAAAAGTATAAAAATCAACGAATCCGATTGATCAGTTGCATGGCTAAGGGACCGAACCTACTAGAGAAATTATTTTCCTTGTAGAATGACTATTATTATTGAATAATGTTATGTGTACACATCAAGGTGTACACACATCCTTATATTCCCCTCACGTGGAGGGGGTTTCACACAAAAAAATATGTGTAGGCCCCACTCCATTTGAGGGGAGTGTAAAGTCGTGTGTATACGTAGCATTGTCCATTATTATTAAAGGTACGAATACAAGAACGACGACGAGTGGGTTACATGTTGGAGGCACTAGGTTCGGACCAATCTGGTTTACATGTTAAGTTAGCTTAAATAACGGGGCTTTTAACGTGTGTTTTGGTCAGATTATTTTAAATTTTAAATTTTTTGCACTACTTATCGCTATCTATACAATATTTATATGGCGTTACAATATGTTAACAAATTTGCTGTAAATCAATTCTATAAGGACAAGCTTAGAATAAATTCTTGCCTAAGCATGGAAATTAGGCAAAAGTTAAAAGCTTTGGATGCCAAGCAAAGTCACAAGATTCATCTAGGGCCTGACTCATGATCCATAATATCTTTTACCTAAATATTGTATGACGTATTAGATAAGGTACAATATGGGTGGGTTCGTGGATTTTAATGATTAATATTTAATTACTACTATATAACAAGTTGATTAATTATGCAAAACCAACCCATGCCTCCTCGAACTAACCCATATGATGGAACTTGGAAGCTTCATTATTTAAATAATAATTTATTTGTTTTGGATACTAATTCACAGTCTGTTCTATTTGTCTCCTTAATTGCAGCTAATTTGTCTGAATGGAGCATTAAAGAAAATATAAATTCTACATCAAAATCTACAAAGCTGCACAGGCAGATATTAGTAGTAATTACAATGAAAATTACCTAGAAAGAATCACTTACAGTATTTTGTATAAAATATTCGCCTTTTCTCTTTGTCTTTTTATATTCAGGACATTTTTAAGGTCATGAATTGAACGCGATTTGACAAAATTAAGAAAGAATAAAGCACGGTCTTTCTCATTTTTATCGAATCAAATAAATTAAAAATGGGACGTGCAATTTTGTTTCTTTGAGATGATAATATCAAAGGGTGACAGCGAAGTTCAAGGGCCGTGAGTGTGGTGCCTGTTTTCAAGATGCTTTAAAATTGATGTACAGACAAACACACGAAACTATGGTGTGTACATGCTTTTCTATGAGGTATATTTATGCTGTCTGCACTTTAAAAAAAAAAAAAATTAAAATTAAAATTGAACACGAAATATTATAAAAAATAATTATAAATCATTCCAAGGCCAGCTGGCCCAACCCTCCCCAGATTCGTCCCTGGTTTACACATAAAATAATAATACTGTAACTCTAAGCCCTTTAAACCCTTTGTTACATCCATTTTCTAAAATTTAGTTTTCATAAAGTTTATTTTAAATCACACATTTTATGAGATTCACACGTATTTTATTTTTTATTAAAATCTACTAAATATTTAATTATTTAACTAAACTAAGCAATATATATACACCTACATACTGCTGATTAATAATTAAAGGAATCTTGCCCCCCGAGACATAGCTTAGTGGTGCAAAGGATAGAAGTGGGGTTATCTCACTCCTTGCTGGCAGTCGCAGTGTGGGGATTCGATTCCTAAAACATGAAATTTGACTCCTTGTAGACGCAGTGTACATACAGGTCTTGTTCCCTGACCTATTGGGGCACATCCTGTGATTTACCTCTCTCACAAAGTTTTAGAGGCGTGACCGTAGAGACCCTCAAGGTTAGGGTTCAACCTTTAATAATTAAAGGAACCTTTTTCATCTTTTTTGTAATTTCTATTGTCTCTAGTATAGTTTTTCTTTAACTTTAAAAACAAGCGTTGAGTTTTGTCCAGAAGTTTACCAAAACTACAATTCTTAAATGTAAATAGATCTACCTACATGCAATAAATATTAAATAAATTGACTGTTTTAAAAACTTGAATTATTAATTAGACATTCATGGCAAATTTTAGGTATTATTTTGCTTTCAAGTTTCAACAAAAGTTAATATTTACTCCATCCTATTTATATAAGCTGGCTTTCCTTATTTATTTTTTTATCTTAATTATATAGTCCTATTTCTTTATAGAGAATATTTTGTTTTGTTCGTTTACTAACATATCATTATTTAATTTACTTTTTTATAATCAATCATTCAATTTCTTTAACACTATCAACAATAATTTACTACTAATTGTTGATAATAAATGAGGGTAAATTAGGAAATTTTTTGACAAAAATTATTTTTCAATAACATTAAATAAAATTTATTAATCTATGCGAAGAATTAATTTAGCCTATATAAATGAAAGGGAAACATGTGAAAGAAATTCAAACCGTGCCCTTTTGGGAAGAGGCGAGCGTTTCTCATTTATGAATCACAGGAAATTGCAATCTCAACTGCCACGTCGGCCAAGCTGAACTGGAATCTTCCTCGCACTTGACCTCACATTACTATACTTGCAAGGACGGACCCTTATTATAGATCTATCATCAATGTGTATATTTAGCTAATTCATTTTTTCTTTCTTCTTTTCAATTTTACATTTTTTAATAAAATAATATTAAATGTAAATTCATTTTTTTGCCTTTTTAACCACACATTGATAAAAAAATATATATATTATCCTAAAAATTATAATTTCAAATAATGGGAGCCATACGGGGGCTTAGAACAATAAACTGACAGTAAAATATTATAGAAAAATTAAAAAAATCTAAAAATTATTTAGTGAATACATAAGAAATTTCCTATCTTCCTTAGGATATGAGATAATGTACCAAAAGTCACAATTATGTTTTTGCTCGTTTTTATTGGTAATAAACAATCCACAGTCAACAAAATCGGCAAACCTTCAAATGTCGAAAATGCCAAAACTATTAATACATAGAGTTAGGGATGTCAACGAGCCAATTTAATCGGTTCACTATTCGAAACTCTCGGCTCAAATTTTTTGAAAGCAAGCTTTTTTTGTTAGAGCCGAGCAAGAGCTCGACTAAAAAATTAAGGCTCGACTGGAGCTTTCGCCTTGAGCTTTACCGAGCCGAATCGATTCGATTTTTTCCCCTCTAATCTGCCTGTTTGGCAGTTAAAATAGCTGCCAAGCCAAACAGGCTGCAGCTTAAAAAAGATTTAATTTCTTATTTTTTTCTATATTTTAATAGGTTGGCCCAACTCGAGCCAAGTCCCCAAAATGGGACTCGGCCAAAGTCTCGAGTCCGATTCAGGCTTTTTTCAGGCCGAGTCACGAGTAGCCTGATCCGTCGAATCCGATTGCCATCTCTACATGGAGTAAGATTAATTTAATGGTCTCCAATCTATATAACAAAAATAGGAAATTTGCATTGTAGGTCTTTAAATTTTGTCAAAGAAATTAAGTTGATCATCAAGCTATCAGAATAGTTCATCTTGTGACTTTCATATTTTCAACTTAATAAAGTTATATTTCATTTTTGAACTTGATCAGTACCTAAAAATTTGAAGTGGGGGGAGTCTACTCGTATAGGCTAGCTAACGATTTACAAATGTTTTGACACTTTTGGTCACTGCTTATTTTCTCTTAAAGATAAAAAAAACTAACTTGCAATTTGAGCAATGGGTTGAGGCTGACTGCTGCAATTTTCCTTGAAAAGATACTACATAAAAGAAAGTCTTGTAAAATACCAAAAATAACCACTTTCAGTTTTTGAAAATAACTCAAGAATAAGGGACTTTGTGGTAACTAACCCCGCCGAACAAACTAAACAAACAAATTTCACAATCTTTCTTACTCCCTTTACATAGTGCAAAATAAACCTCTTTTCACTAACTTTATTTTTTCTCTCTCTATCCACAAAGCCAAACCAAACCCTAAATATACTCCGACTCTATTCAAAGTTTGCCACACCTATCTGCATTGCATGGTCTTTTGCTCATCTCCTCTCCTCTCATTGTTCTTTTCTCCACCTTCCACTCACCTTTCATAACCCTCTCTGTCCACAAACCAAAATAGGCAACCAAAAGAGACAAACATACACACGGAGAGATACAGCTACACACCGCACGCATATAGTGTGATTCAAGAAAGAGATCCAATAAATTACGTGGATTCTAATGGCTGTTGAAGCTCGCCATCTCAATCTATTTCCTCCAAAGATTCTCAGCAATAGGTATGATTTTCGTTGTTGATTTTCAATTTTTATCGATTGATTTCAAATTTACAGAACTGGATATGTATTTATGTTTTCGAATGAATGCAGAGAAACGGCGATGAATAGTATTGAAGGCATTGGCAATGTAAATATGTATGGAACTCCATTAGGATACGGAGTGGTGATGCCACAATCTGGGACAACGACGGCAACGGAGAATTTTGTGCCGATGTACAGTTCGACTGTTACGGATTCTATTCCGGCGAAGACAGCTCCGATGAAATCAGACAGTGGTCTCAGTTATGCTCTTCCGGTATCAAGAAAGCGATCAAGTGATGCAATGAATCCTCTGCTTTCTTCATTCCCTGTGGTTCAGAATCAGAATGCAAATTACCGTTGTGGTTCTTTCACTTTCCTCGGTGAAGATATTTCGTTTCAGTTCCAACAGCAACAGTTAGAAATCGATCGCTTCATTGCTCAACAGGTAAGATTTTTCATATCTTAATCTGTTTTTTTTAGTTGTAATTCGTTTTGTGTGAATTTGCGATTAACTCGATCATTTGTGACAGACTGAGAAAGTAAGGATGGAAATGGAAGAGAGACGAAAGAGATATTCGCGGAGAATCGCGGCAGCTGTTGAAGGCAACATAATGAAAAAACTAAAGGCACAAGAAGATGAAATTGACAAAATTGGGAAATTAAACTGGGCGTTGGAAGAGAGAGTGAAGTCCCTGTGCGTAGAGAACCAAATATGGAGAGATTTAGCACAAACAAATGAAGCCACCGCAAACACTTTAAGATGCAATCTCGAGCAAGTTCTCGCTCAAGTCCAAGTCGATCAAAACCAGCGCAACTGCGCCGACGAGGCATTAACCGATGACGCTCAATCTTGCTGCGGCAGCAATTTCGAAGAAATCGAGCGACAAACATTAGCGCAGTGCACAGCAACCAATGCGCACGGCACCAATTGCAATGACGGGTTCATTGGCAATATTGGGGACAATAAAGCATGGAAGACCTGCAGTTACAGTAATAGCAGCACGAACAGATTGTGCAGGAACTGTGGAAAAGAGGAGTCATCTGTGTTGCTTTTGCCTTGCAGGCATCTCTGCCTCTGTACTGTTTGCGGATCATCCCTCCATACCTGCCCCGTCTGTAACTCCTCCAAAACCGCTAGTCTTAATGTAAACTTACCCTCTTGAATTTCTGTTAATCCTTCATAAATCGGAAAAAAAATCATCGAAATTGGATAAATTCTTGTTCATTATCTCTTTGTTTAATCAGTAAGTAGCATTATTGAACGTTATGTTGTGAATCCATGGAAACTGGCGCACGTTAGCATTTGCGTAGAAAAGATGAGACGTGGACGAGCGTGGTGGGGATGCGCGTGAAGTCAACGATGCAATGAAAGCGACACGTACAGCGTAAAGACTGACACGTAGGACTCGCGCAAATGTCGCTATTTTGCACAGAAGGTGAGAAAAACGAAGGCATTCATTTCCCCTCTAAACAAGCACCAACCTCGTGTGTTGTGCCGGACTGCATTGCACCGATGAGCACGGCAGAGGAGAAAGTGTGTGACGGCATGAGACGTGGTTCTTTTGTAGAGTCCCGCCAAAAAAGAGGACAAAAGTACGGATAATTAAAGTAAAATCTGTCCTTTATACCGTATTTTCTGGCCCTATTGCGTATATTAGACGGCGTCCTTTATATACTTTCCTTTTGTTATGGTTATCGGGTTTGAGAATTTCAAGAAAAGAAACGTAAGCTGGAAAATTATCTAAATCATTTTTTCACTAGTGTCGAATTACCGCTCTCTTTGTAACCGTTGACGTTGAAATCTAAGCGGTAATTGTTATAATTGTTAATGAAATTGAATATTGAGAAAGATATATATACCCCATTTGATTTCTATTTTTTGACCATAAAAATAAAAAAAAATGATCGATATTCATCACATCTTTTTATGTAAGTCCCGTAATGACTGTATTTTTCATTCTCATTTTGCTCAAAATGGGAATAAAAAAAAACCTATAGTTTTAAGTTTAATACATGTTTATTTTGTTTGTAAAGCTTTTTCATCGAGTACACGATCATCACAAGACTTGAGAAAGAAGTTCCTACTAATATTGTGCTAGTAGCCGCAAAAGATAGAGGGCAAGTGCTCTTCATAATGAATGGGCATAAAGGGCTCGTGGATTGTGAATCGGGTTGAGAGCGATAGTCGTAAAGAAATGATCAAATGCTTTCGAAACCAGTTCACTCAAGTGAGAAAAGCAGTATTGCCCCTGTTCCTTATAACCACTAGAGCTTTTTTTAATATAAATAGTGAAGAGGCTGAAATAGAGTTAAGCTTTAAAATTCAAATCAAACCCAGCCCATATGTTTTTTGCGCTAGGAGCCTTTCCACCGTAAAGAGGTGATGGTGCTTGCTTTCGATAGGTAGTCCATCATTTGAAATTGGTCAGCTATAGACATTACTTTCATTCTCTCTCCTATACTAATTCTCATAACAGTACAAGATGAAGGCTGTGAAGCATCAAATTCTTAAAATTATAGTTGAGATGGGATTATAATTCTTTCTAATTATCCAGCTATAGTGAAAAATTGAGAGGCTCGGCTTAAACCCGTTGACTGGAAAATTTTGTCATTAATAAACAACTTTAGCACTCAGTTAAGTTCAAGTCCAAAACACAATGTCCTTAGCCCTTGTTTGAACCCCACTCTATGAAAAAAATGCATTCTTAAATAAAATAATATAATACGTAAATCTAACATTTTTTTATTTTTTAATCACAAATTTTCGATCAATACATTATTTAAAAATATATTTTTCTCTCAAAATGGGGCTCAAACAAGGGCGTATTATACAACGATGTATTCATTAATTATGTAATGGATTAAGGCGGTTGTGTCTCCAGCAAGCATCATCCTTATGTCATTGTAACAGACGGGCGGTGAGGCGGTGGCTAAAGTTGGGAGTAGTTGAGATGGTGGTGTCATGTGGCGTGGCTCTAAATTAGGGCGCGTAACAATTACATTGTCTAGTGGGGCCATCAGCTTTATCTACAGTCATCGTCAAAATGGGGCGATAGAATACAAGGATTAGACTACATATAATAATGGCGTTTGCTGATGTTATTGTTACATTGGGTGAGAAAATAGGTAACTGGGGGATGGGGTGGTCCAGATTCCATCTGCTAAATTTCGTGAAAAGTCATCTTCAAGGGTGATCAAATCAGAGGGTCGAGAGAAATTTGTGCGGAGTGGACTTGTTCACACTGTTTAAATCTTGTACAGACTCGGTCAATCAATATGTTTATTGGGAAGATAAAAAATTTAACAAGGGTACGACTGATAGATAGAGGAAAGGAAAAATATTACATTCCCAGGACAATGGTCCACATAGATGATATTTGTAGATTTTTTAGTAAAATTTAATATAAACAATACGTGTAATTGAAAAATTATTAAAAATCATTAATCTCACAAAATAAGTGACTAGAAATCTATTTATGATTGAACCAATTGGAAATTTCTGGTTCAATGGTCACAAATGATGGTGTCGACATACTTGATTAAAGTTTTAAATAGATGAAAATGAATGGTGAATAAGCGATAGTACTTGTGGACCACACGAAATGCATATGGAGAACTAACGAGTTAAATTGTGAACTGAATGCTCATCAATGGATAGATTCAATGTTGAACCAATAAGAAGTTTTTAGTTCAATGGTCTAAATGGATGAACAACTATTAATTTTATTCAATAG